TACATGTGACAGTTGCTTAATCAAAAATTGCACAAATTAACAACAGTCAGCCCCCAAAGAAGCTCCACAGTGTTTTCAGTCAAACTCTGGAAACATGGAAACATAATGAATGACAGACATTTCTCTACATGGGTAGCCAGGAAGCATATGTTCTGGAAGAATCCAGAGCCAGCTGCAGGAACCTCAGCTTCTGTAACAGCCTGTCTTGGTTTTTCAAACCCACCCATGCTTGAAAAGACAAATTGCTAAACCCTACCCTGAAATCCAACTGGGCTCTTAGCTTAGTGTCGAGGAAAAAGAAAATGATACGGCATATTCAGTCTCCTTCCTTTTTGATCCAGTTTTCTCAAAAGTTGAAATACATATATTTTAGCCTTCCGTTGGGTCACAAAAGGACTTCAGTAAATTAAGAAAGAGGACCTGCCTCCAAAACTCAAAGAGAGCCCATAACCCTTACAGGACATTCTGCTCAGGCAAAGCCTTCAGTTCAAAACCTCCACCAGTACTTTGGGAAGACATGACAGTGCTAATCTTGGGAAGATTCTTCATCCCGTAATGTGAAATTTGGCATCAGTCTTTGTCTGGAATAACAGACTCTTATTAGTCTTAATTGATTGCCTTTTCCAGTATGTATTATACCTCACAGTGTGGTGTAATACAAAAGGGCACATGGGCAATTCTGTGTAGCATGTTCCAAAATGAGGGTCCAAAGAGATCGCCTATGAACAACTGTTAGCGATTCTCCTGACAACACCAGTTGTGCTAGCCAGTGTCTGTCTGTCTGTCCATCTATCAGTCCATCTATCACCTTGTCCTAGACAACATTCAAGGCAGAGGACACTGGATCCTGGGTCAGAAAAAACAGATTTGATTCCTTACTCTGCCACTACAAGTAACGGAACACAGGACCAGTGAGTCTCTGCATCAGAATTATTATTTCTAAAATAGAGATAATAAAATAGCTCTTACTAATTTCCTAGGTGTGTTGTGAAAATTACATGCACTTCCAAAATTGTAGCATGCCCCACTAACACATCTTGTCAGAGAGGAGTTACTTGGGCAGGAAGGGAAAATACATGATATTTTGCTAAAGTATTCATTAATGGCCAGGAGATAAGATCAGCTGGGTCA